AATGCATGTGGGCTTTCTAGTCCCCAGCACAGGATAGATAGAATACGGAGCCAAACAGAAGCAGACAAACATTTTACCTGAGCTTGTTAAATGAGCTAAGCATGTCTACTTCTGTGTAGCTATGGTTTCTAATGGAGGCATGGTCTGCATCTGAGCGTGCCAGCATTTGACAGAACCACTCACCTTTATGGTAGAAGGGCTTCTTCATACCATCAGGAAGCCGGGCTTTACGCTCGACGCCGTAGCCATGCCGCGGGCCATGGTCTTCGTGGTTATACCTCACCCCGTCTCTCCTGGCAGCCTCGGCCGCCATCTTATCCCGCATTGCCTTGGCGCGTTCTGACTCTAGTGCAATGGCTTTCTCCAACAGGGACAGGTTACCCTTCGTCATGTCAAACACTTCTTCTGATCGGTCCGACGTCACGGAGGCCGTGTCCTCGTCGAAGTCCCGGAGGTTAGTGTGATAGCGGTTGTCCTGTGTGCAACTAGAGAAGGCCTTTGAGCGCGGGCTCAGCTGCTCCTCCAGCTTCATGAGATTGTCCATGTCGGAATAGTTCCTGTCGAGAGTTCGCGTGTCGTCTTGGCTGTGGTGGAAATCTCCGTAGCTGTGGTGCTGGGGCTGTTGATTGGGATCCCCGCATGAAAAATGGTTTTGCTGGGGCGGTCCATTTCGGTCGGTGGACTTTGTTTCGCTTAGTTTCCGAGCCAAGTCGAAGCATTGGTTTCGTAGGCACTCCAGACTGCTCAAACACACTTCCTCGTCGCTGTTTTCGATTTGTCCATTACTGTTGATCTTAACTTGTCCACCGTGTGCGTTTCCCCCGTTGTGACCACAGTCGTTCTCGGCTGTTCCGTCCCCAAACTCCTGTCCGTCTAAATTGTCAGACAATACTGCGCCGTGACCTTGTGCCAGAAGTTTAAGGGAGTCCACCGTCTCCCGAACCACATCACTGTCAACGTCCAAACTCAGAACACCCCTCTGTGTTTCTGTCCCCTCTTCTTCCTCCTCTTCCTCCTCGTCTTCCACCTCCTCCTCCTCTTCGTCCTCCTCGTCCTCTTCCTCCTCTTCGTCATCTTCCTCAGCACTGTTAGAGGAGTTGCTGTTCATCTCCGATTCCGTCATGGCTCGGTTGGCGGCGTCTTCTGCGATCTTGCCCAGGTTGAGGAGGGACTTGGCCACTAGTTCATCGTAGTTCTCGTACTCTTCGCCGTTGTTGTTGTCCTTCTCCCCCGCTGGGCCAGATTTGGCACCGCCGCCGCCGCCACCTCTACCGTTGCCCTCGCTCCTCTCGCTGCTGCTCTTCTGATCGTCCTCTGTTGGAAAGAAAGAACAAACGTCTTGTAATTGAATTTCCGTCATTCTATTTTACTGGTAAATCAGATTTCTGGGCTTGGTCCATCTAAATTGGATAAGGAACTCTTTGCTTCCCCTAATAATTTACTTTGAGAGCCTTAACAGCAGCTTGTGTTCTGAATTGTGAATCAGCACAGGAAGTTGAATATAGCGGTTAGGGAAAGTTGCAGAGAAAGATGCTCTGGTAAATGGTAATCTATAAAAACAGGGGCTGTGTCTTTTAGTCTGACTTTTGCACTTATTTCCTGGATGTCTATAGAAAAAGACATTCACAGATCTATTGATAAATAATATTAAGGCAGTGATCATTACAGACGGACAGATTATTTGCTTTATAGTTAAATTACTGAATAATTCTGTAAATAGTTTCAAAAGATAACATTTTATTCATTGTTCAGCAGTGTGAATCGAAACACTGTCAGAAGATCTTTAAATTAGAAAGTGTTTTTTTACAGGAGCGTCTAATATCCGAGAGATAATATTGTGTTCCATCTGCAACAGGATGAACCCCAGTCAGTAGCTTTTCATCGTTTGCTAGTAAAGTTCCTTTTTTTCATTCAATCATCAGTATCTTTAGAATTCCTTTCACTGCCTAATTGATTCTGACAGGCTGCAAAAGGTTACTGAACCTCTTCTGTCAGTAATTTCAAGCACTCGCTCCTGGAGCACTTCCAATCTCTCCTTTCACATTTCTGCCCTGAGCCGCCAAGAGCACATCGCTCAGGTTGGCGTCACATTTGCCACTTACATTCCAGCAGAGAAACCCAGAGCCCCCACCCAAATAATAAAAACAGTGCTATTTCTTAGTGATGAAATATGAATTATCACCTGGCTCACATGCAAATATATGAACTTGACTGTATTAATCAGAACAAAAACAGATCTGAATATTATCCAACTATATACTTTGTACAAACTAACAGACAAACAGTAGCACTGACTTTCACACACACACACACACACACTCCAATGTAATGAGAGCAACACAATATTGGTGCTTGGGGGGTGAGGGCTTTAGAGCGGGAAGAGAGAACAGTCACGAATGACCAGGTACATATTTTGACAGTGGACGGCTTCTTACATCAACCTCCTGCACCAGGGGTTTCATTTGTGACGGTATGAAACATGGAACGGGAAAGCAATTTGAAGAGCAATCAAGGTACACAAAAGAGATATGGAAGCGAAACAGATTAAGGGGGGAACAGAGAGACCGCCCTGGCCTGAATTGGCTTTGGATTAGCTACGGAGATGTGCATGCCACTGAGAAACACAGAGAAGCTCCGGAATGTCACCTCTATTACATTTAGGAGATTGGAATCTGCCCGGCGACCATCCAGTACCGTCGTCTTGGACCAATGGGGAACATGGTAATGACGCATCCAGAGAGATTTTTCTACTATTCTCAGGGAATATGCTGCAGATTATAGGGGTGGGGACAAATAATCGATTCATGTATGAATCAAGATTGTTATCTCCTAAGATTCTGAATCGATATTGCTACAGATGGACACTAATCCTACACAGTCAACGCATATTCTTTATTCTAATATATACAGTATATTGGAACTGTAAAAAAGCAGATGTTCAATTCTGAAAATTCATATCTAGTGAAGGAGCTGAACGAGGAATAATTCAACAACTGTAATGATGGCAGAGAACTCGGCCGCAGAGAGACAGAGACACCGTGTCCTAAAAGCAAGCCTTACGTTACGTAATGTGAATAAACCACATACCAGCTGTGTGCTCCAGTTCAGACTGGAGACAGTACCACCTAAAAGATGGCCGAGTAGCACTTGCTGCCTTCGGACGTTTGCACTTGTTTAAAAGAAAACACAAGTTTTGTGACCCTTTCAAAGGGAGAGACAGGAATGAATAGAAAGAGGGCGTCTGACAAACGTTCAGCTCAAAATGTCACAGCGTCGTGTCATGAACATAAGAGGTGCCTTGGTTTTTACAGTGGGATTTTTTGTACAAACTATTTTTGAAATTGGCAAGTTTCTGAGAAATAAAAACCTAGAAATGTTATTTATGTAATCAGCAGGTTTTTAAATGACTTGATCTTGTTATTCTTGAAGTCACTGAGAATTGAAAAATACTAAAAACTGTTTATTAGAAAGCAATTATTTGTGATTTTTGTGTTGTGTTAAAACCATTGCAAATATAAAAATATAAAAATATAAAACCTCCAAAACGTTACGCTTTACTCTGCTCTGTCCAAAGCACGTCTCTAAACAACATGGTAGTCATCTACTACCCATGGAAAGAGAGGCTGCTGGCAGGCTGAAGAGACCGTGGCAGCAGTCCACTGTCTCTGTGCTACGGCTGAGGCCTCGGCCGTGAGCTCTAACGAACACCAGTCCGTAGAGACTCACATTCTGCAAAAAAATTAAAATAAAAAATACAAAATACAAGCTTGGCTGCTGAGATGCCACATCAACACTTTGGGTGGGGAGAGCCATGTGCCAACCAGGGTTCACACACTCCTCTCTCAGAGCCTCACTCTTAATTGGACTTGAAGGCACTGTCAGGTCCAATCGTGATGCGGGGGTGCAAAGTAGAATCTGCTGGAGAGAAACCTGCCAAATCGGGTCTTGGGCACTTCGGGAGGGGCTCCAGACCAGATCTGGATGGTATTTATGTGTCATGTCTTCAGGAAAGGCACCATCAATGTAAGACTTTGATAGTCAACCTCTCTTATATTTTTAAGATTGAATATTCATCAAGGGACGGGTATCTGAAGACACATTTGTTTTCAAAAATGATTAGTCTTTCTGTTTACAAAAAATAATCATGGCTCAGTTTCAGCACTAATGGCTCTAATGTTTCTGAGTCTTCTGGAGAATGCTAAAGCATTTCAGTGGGAAATAATTACAAAGGAGGATCCTGCTGTTTATAGCCATCAATTTAGATAATTTCTCTGGAATTAATGCAATAAGCATTTTTTAAAAAGAGCTGAAAAATCAATAAAGTAGCGAACAATGTGTCACCCGTACACCTCTCCTCCAGCTTCTGGTGGGTTTAGACTACAGTAGCAGTACAGTAAAGGCTGTGAAAATGAGTGTGTATGCAAATCAGCAAATGAATAAATGTATAAAAGAACATATCACTGTAAGAATGATACATTGTATGGCTTCAGTCATGCTGGTTTCAGGTCTTTAGTCTCATTCCAATGCAAAACACAATCAGTGTTTGAACATCATGTCCACCTGCTGCAAACTACTTCAGTCAGACAATCAAATATGCAAATGTAACACGGATATGTAAATGTAGGTAACATCATTAAATAAATAGAGAAATGTTTGTAGGAATTGTTCGACATTTTGGGAAATAATGCCATTTGCTTTCTGGTGGAGAGAAGACCGACAGCGCCCTCATGTATATGGTGAATATAGCACAGAGACTTCTAGGAGCGCTTCTAAAGCTGATTACCAAGTTATAACTTCTTTGTTTAAAGGCACACTGTGTAGGATTTAGTGGCATCTGTGGTGAAGATGCAGATTGCAACCAACTGAACCCCCCTCCGCTCACTCCTCCCTTTCCAAGACTAAGCCAGCGAGTGCAAAACCATGGAAAGGCCTCGGTATCTTCCACGACCTTCGCCTTGCCGACTTTAGGAGCAACAAAGTAAAAACAACAATTCACCATTTTACAGGTGGTTTGGTGCCAAACTGTTTCTTGCCTGGGCGCAGTAACTTCCTGGATTATCTACTGAGTCGTTGGCAACTGAGCCAAGAGATAGTCCCGCACATAACCCCATAACCCCATAACCCTTTGGTTTTTGTGTGAATTAAACAGATATAACACGTTAATACAGATATTTAGAAGTGCTGCTTATGCAGATGGATTTTGTTACCTTCGGAAAGAGTCAGGCTAGCTGTTTCCCCTTGTTTCCAATCTTTGTGCTAAGCTAAGCTAAGCAGCTGCTGGCTGTAGCCCAACATTTCCCGTGTAGCGATGAGGGTGATTTTTTCACGTTCTCATCTGACTCTCAGCCAGAGAGCAAATGAAATCTGATGTCAAACTATTCCTTTCAAATTCTACCACGTTGCTCTGGTGCATTAGTTCCATATGAAACATCTATCTGAAGTGTTTCAGTACGTAATGATGAGAAAGTGATCTCACCTTGTCCTTGACTCTGCTCTCCTTCCTCCTCCTCTCCCTCTTCATAGTCCACCTCCTCTAACACTTCCTCCTCTTCCTCCGCCTCCTCCGCCTCCTCCAACCTCTCCTCATCACCCTCTTCCTCCTCTTCTTGCTCCACCTCGACCTCCTCTTCCTCCTCCTCTTCCTCGCCCTCTCCGTCCCCTCTCTCCACCACCCCTTCTTCGTGCTCCATTTGCTCTACGTTGTAGTCCATGTAGCCCTCCACCTCCTCCACTTCCTCCTCCACTTCTCCCTCCTCTTCCTCCTCTACTGCTCCTTCCTCCTCCTCCTCTTCCTCCCGGTCGTCCATCTCCTCTGTGCCGTCGGTCTCGTAGCACTCCTCCATGGTGGAGTTGTCCATGTCATCTAGGTAGGTGCTCCTCTTGGGGGAGGTTTCCAGGATTTGTCTGTCTAGACTCTTTCTCTTCTTGGCCCGGGGGCAGCCGTACACACTGCAGAGGAGAGATAAGAGGGCAGCCGTTAGCCTCACCTGGCTAGGAATGCTAATGCTCATTTGCAATCAGGCCTCTGTGTTAAGGTGCCACGCTTTACAAGCTGGAATATAAAGCGCAAAGCAGCAACGGCACAAGAGCCTTTTACTGCAAGGAAAGCAACGCCTCTTAAGTTCTTCTGCTGGGAGAAATATGAAACTTTGCTTAACCAACCTTAATTAGACATGTACTCATTAACTATTGGCCAATTATAATAAAATGCTCCATTTCGTCTAGAAAACAGTTACACAGGGATAGAAACCACTGTCTCTGAAGCAAACAAAGCAGAGGATTTGGTTTATTTTCACATTCATTTATATTCAGGTAACATCAATTTGTTCTTCAGGTAAAAGAAAACTCGCTGTGCATGCTCCGCAAACACTTTGTTCTGGAGCGATATGCCCTTGTTCTGACATGAACCGAGTGCAGCAGAACACAGCTGCTTGGCTGGAATTGACTGTAAGAGGGAGAAGACAACCTGTAGCCTGATTAATTGAATCTCATCCGAGGCACCTCGGGTTTTTAATGTATTCTGTGGCTCCCCTCGGCAGCAGGGGGACAGATCCTAATCTGATAATCTGATAATCTGTGTATTCGCTCAGGCTATTGATCACAGGGGCTTAATCCATTTCACTCATCAAACCTCAGAGAGCCCCCGAGCTGCTACCTGCCCCCCCCAGTGTAAGCTGCATGTGTGCGACTTCGGGGAAGTGTGCTGATGTTTGCTGGTGCATTTCTGTACACGCGATTGGAACAAAAAAGCACCCACACAGTCGGAATGATGAGTTCTGCTGAGTGTTTTGGCCATCAAATCAACCTCTTGTCCAGGCCGGAGTGTAACAGAGCTAAACACTCTTTGGGCATGTTCACTCGGCTGTGAAATATCCCTGGCTCCTATTTGTACAACCTCTGGATGTTTCCACCGGCTCTGCGCTACTTAGAGCAAGACCTGATGTGAGAGAATGGCACAAAGGCTGTGTGTGAAGCTAAGAGAATGTTAGTTGTTTGTGGATGTGTGCTGCTTTGGAAAAGGCCAGCTGCAGAGGTGAGGTGGTATTGTATGGTGGTGGATTGCAGCGCTAGAAAGGTTTTTCATGCCAATGTGTCCCACAGTCCAATATCCTATCCATCCGTCTCTGTCTCTCTGTCTCTCTCTCTCTCTCTCTCTGTCTCTCTCTCTCTCTCTCTCCTCAGTCCTAGACGTCCATCAGTCAGTCAGGGTACAGTCAGCTGGCAGGCTCAATCTCGCCAAGCCCTGGCATCCCTTAATGGTCTGACCCCCTGCACCCCCCGCAGCCAGGGGCCTCATTTCATTAATCTAAGCCCACATGGAAACTCATTCCCTGCCTGACAGCCGGATCTCTCCCCTAGGGCAGCGTGAGGGGTCTGTGGGACAGGGAAGGAGGGAGGGGGGAGGGTGCGTGCACGCTACAGCACTGTGATCAATAGTGCTTGTGACCAAACATCTCAAAAGCACATTAAAATGCCACTCATCCTGGCCCTCTCCGTTCCGGGGCCCTCTCCAAATAAATCAAGGGGGCCGGTCCCAGCAGGTTAGCGGCTGCCAAGGCAGGCGGGCTAGCAGGAGAGGTGAATAGGTGGGTGGGGGGAGGGAGAGAGGAGGGGGATAAGGGATGGAGAGAGGTAGAAATGGTGTGGAATGGCACACAGACACACAGGCCCTCTGCCCCCCCACCCCCGCCTCTCCACCTTTATCTTAACAATATCCAGTCTTAAGGCAGCGAGCTCTGAGCCAGTGTAGCTCAGTGGCTGATGGGTATTAATGTGACTTCACCTGAAAATCACGCTGGAAAAAATACAAGTTGTTGAATTGCTATAATTGCTTTGTAACATCAGCTAATGGATAGCAAATTATAAATGTTGGCATGTGTGTTTTCTCCCTGCATCTTCAAAAGGAGTCAAGTGCACTTTATTATCTTGGGTCAGGATTGTTACAAACAAAGCGGCCTTTCGATAACAGAGAGCGAACCTGCTTTATAACCTGACAGCTCTAAAAGTTCCACAGACAGTGGAGCAGATATTTGGCTTCATTGGAAGCTACTGCAGCGGAGCATCTCATGTTAGCGACTGTTAATGGCGGTCGTGTTAGGAGGCGTTCTCAGGTGCTCGTTTGGCCTCGGCACTCCCCACCCCTGAGATGACTCAGCCGTAGGAAACCCCCCACAGCTCCACCATCCCACGTTCCCTGGCTCTGTCGCTACGCGACCTTGCTGCAACATTTGTCATCAACAGGCGATGCATCCTACTCGCTGCGCTCGGCAATTAAAATTCTAGAAATCATTAGGTGGCATTAAAATTAAAAAAAGAAGAAGAAGAAAAAAAAGAAAAGACATTCTGTGGGCATAGAAAGGAAAGGGGACGAGAAAATACTGTACCAGTCCAAGTATCCCTCTGCTTTGTCCCCTGGCACAATCACAAAATCCTCCGAGAGGAGTGTGCGGTATGAGAGTTAGCAATCAAAGAAGAAAAGAGCTTCAGATCACAAAAAGACCACTTCATATTTTATGGAGTGGGCATCCTCGCCATTATAAAATGGAACAAATTATATTACTGTGTGAACAAGTGGTCCTTTAATGCATGAAAAAAAACTTCTGGAGACGTTACAGAGAGGGGCCTCGTTTCTGGAGCATTAATGCGAGGCAGGGGAGTGGAGCGGCAGGAGGAGAGCTCTCGTTCGGCTCATTTTCGGGGGGACAGCTGAGCGACTGCTGGAATGCGACAGCGTTCCACGGCGCCTTTATTAGCAGTCACATTAGCGGCTGTTCTCAGCAGGGGCAAAAGCTTTAGCCGGTCATTAGCATCACACGCTATTTGTCTCCCTGACACAGGGATGAGGTGGCTGTTGCTGCTTTTTCCTCTGCCTCCTCTCACTACTCTCTCTCTCTCTTCGTCATCTCTTCCTGTCACCCGGTATTCTCACCTCGTATTTCTCCCTCTCTGCTCTCACCCGTCATAACCTCACCTGCTCTCCGTCCTACCATACATCCACATCCTCCGTTTGCTGTCTATCTCAGAGCATATATTACCTCAATCCCTCTCACTCGCACCAATTCCTCTCTACATTTCCACCTCTTGCTCTCACCCCTCTTTTGCTCCTATCTCTCCCTCAACCTCATTGTTGTCGGCTGGAGATGGAGGGAACGCACCACCTCTGGCTGTGACCCCACCGTCCAGCAGGAGGATCTATACGTGTGGCAGAGCCCTGTCTCCATGGTGATACCCTCCAGAAATCCATGAGGGATTCCGCCATCCTCACAGCAAAGCCAGTGAGGAAGAAATGAGAGAGAAAGACGGGCGGACGGGGGGAGACTATGTGAGATGGGGAGGCAAAACGGAGGTTATCGGAAGCCAGACAGCAGGAGGATATATGTTTTTGTGCATATATATATATATATATATATATATATATGTATATATATATATACATATATATAGATAGATACACACACATCTGATTTGTGCACGCAAAAATTGGGGGAAATATAGAAGAGCGGTTGAGAAGAAAGAGGAGGGATGTGTGAGTGTGAAAGAGGAGAGAGGATCATTTCAGAGCTGTCAGGCTTCTCCCACTAGCAGGGGAGAACAAAAGACAGAGTCTTGGTGCAGGAGGCTCAGCACATGGCAGACGCTGCAATTTGGGGCGTTTTCTGTCATCTCCGGCTCTCGCTCGCATATCAGCTGCTGCGGCTCACTCACACGCACTCACACACACACACTCACTCACTCACACACTCACACACACATATGCAAAGACACGCACCAGTTTGTGCTAAAACTCATCAAATATTACTTCATCGCTGTGGAGTGGAAATAATCCTCATTGTAAGTGAAACATGTATGATGCTTGTGTGCCCGTGTGAATGCGCTGGAATTACATGTCCGGCAGGATTTACGCTAAAGTCTTAATAATACAAGACTTTTGAGTGTAATCTTTTCACGTGCCGGTTGAATATTTCAACAGAGCAACGGCGTCCCAAATTCGCCGCTTCTTGACAATGCGATGTCTTATACAGCGAGTCTAGTGGCGAAGTAGCTAAAGGGCATCGGTACCCGACAGACACGCTGTTCAGCCCGGCGGTTCAACGAGCCTGCTGTGGCCCGTTCACTGCTCCGGCTCTAACATTTGTAGGCCTGCAGCTCGTAAACCCGGCCTCAACTTTAGTCAAATACCCACACTAAGCCTCCACATGGCTGAGATGCAGTACAGCATTCTGTATTCAGTATTCTGGCGGACATCACGCATGAAACTAGCAACATCCTCACACGTGTTACCGCCACTCCATCCGGCCCATCCGAGGCCTCAGCTGTTCCCCTTTAGCTCTTTTTATCCGTATCTGAAAACTACTTATTATCTCTCGGTGGAGAGCACCTCCTCACAGGGAGTTTGTGCTCCTCACTGATACTGTCCCATCGAGGAGCTGTGGTGCAGTTGGTGCACGGCGGATGGAGCTGGGAGCGTTAAAGAAGGGATGAGACAGGTCAGATAGAGGGCTTCTGTAGATTCCCTGGAATGGTAGGAAAGACGGAGGACATTCAGAGCTCAACATTGGCACAACATTGGGAAATATGGGGCAGAGCTGAAACGATTACCGTAGTCAACTTATTCATATCGTTTTCAAGCAAACAAGGCAAACATTTGGTTTTCGATTTCCATGTTTTTCTTGTCGTTCTTGTCTTATATCAAAGTAAACTGAATCTGAATTTCAGATAATAATTATTTTGAGCAATCTGAAGATTAATGGACAATGAAAATAATGGTTAGATGCTGCCCTTATCTGTTGTGGTGTATTCTGATTTCATTTACACCACATGATTCTCCCTAGCGCTGTGTCAGCGCTAAAGAAAGGTCCGGCTGCACACGTCACCATTCTGGTACATACAAAAAAAGACCTCATGATAAGTATTTGTATTTTGAACACACAGTATCATGTTTTAATACG